GCTCCTAAATCTTCTGCCAAAAGGCCCAGCAAAACTGCAAAGGCAGAGCTGTTTGGTTTCCATGCCTTGTGTCCCCAGATGCCCTGAGGACAGAGTGGACAGGACAGGTTATGGAAACTTGGAGGGCAGGATAGCAGGATGCTTCAGTATCTCACCTTATGTTTTTGTAGTGATTTGAAAAGACTTTCTGGGCAGGACCAGTGTTCTAAGGGAAACTGCTTTGGAAACTGCTTTGAAGGGTTTTGTCATCACACAGAGACAGCTTGTCTTACCCGTAGCTTGTACGAATGGAAGGGACTGAAAGATGGCCAATATCTGTTTTTCAGAACTTTTGATTTTTACAGTCAAAGTCCCTGGTGGATTATTAGGCACATAGCCTTCGTACCAGCACTACCAGCACTCTGAGTGACATTCATCAGTTCTTGGTAGCTGCCCCAGGAGAGACTAAGAACTAAAAGGTCCTGGATACCTGACCCAACTCTCCCTGGCAAAACTTTGTTGCAGTGGGGGAGATGGTGCCTGTTTTAAGGTTTAAGGGGGCATCAGCTCCCCGGGCTGCATCAACAGCATGTTTCAATTACTCCAAATTCAGGCGTCAAAAGAAACAAATGAATTTGCCATTACAAATTAGAAATTGATTTCAAGGGTACAAATTCCAGCTACACTTGTAGCATGAAAGGTGCTGGTCAGCCCACTCCTCAGATGTTAACTGGAACTCTGTCCTTACAGGCATCTTTATTACTTCTGTTAGTTTCCACTTCCCCTGCATGTCTGAGTTAGGCATGTAGATGCAGGTAGTTGTGTGCACGTGTGTTTGCAGCTGAGCAGAAGTCAGGCTGGCCCATGAGTTCAGGCAGGCTAATGAAGCCAGGATGCCACTCTGGGAGGTTCCTACTGATGTCCAGTGTCTGTGTGTGCCTATTTTTCTCTGTTTTGTTTTTTTGTTTGTTTGTTTGTTTGTGGTTTGTTTTTGTTGTTGTTGTTGTTTCTTTTTTTCCCTGCTGAATCGTTCCTAGCAGTAATGCAGTATTCTTTATTATCAGCCCATCACCCACTTGCCTTCTAGTCCTGCTGGTTTGTAACAGATTTCTCTTTCTAATCTCCTTCTTAGTGTGAAGATCCAGTTGTTCTACATTTCAGTGCACAATGTGTTACTGGATACAGCAATTAGGTAGTTCCCTGTTCAATACCCCAGCCTTAAGGATGTTTTCAAGAAAGAGGGGAAGGAAAGAAGAAAGTAAACTCATTTGAACTGTCTCTTGGAGGAATCGCTGGACAGCCAAGGCTATGTCTTTGAAAGCAAAGGGGCTGCTCAGATTATGAAATTCTCAAACATTAGCTCAGCATGGCTGAGCCACGGCATAGGGAGGTGTGTGAGCCTATTAATCATTGCAGGGCAGCTGCAAGCTCCCTGATTTTGTGGCCTTCTAATATTTACCCTCTTTTGAGGATTTTTTGGTCCTGCTGATAAAGGATTTCATTCCTCTCTTGTGAAGCCATGCAGAGACAGCAGAGGTGTGAGCTTAATTCAGGGTTGCTGAATGACTTGCAGCTATTGGGGGAAATTATTTTACTCAGCATTGTTTTCCTTCTGAAATTGTTGCCTTGGCAGCATCTCGAGCAGTTTTGCATATTTGTCTCTTTAAATTTCCTGTTCCTCAGACTGCTCTATCTTCACAGTTTCCAGTCATTGCATTTTTATTAAAGATTTCCATGGAAGTAAACAGTCTCGGAGGGTTCATCCTTCCAATATCCCTGGCTTGAAAGGAGGAAGCAGGACTGGAAGTGTTTCTTAATAAGGGGAAGATTGGAAAGTATGCTACTGCCAGTGTAATAGGTTGAAAAATCATTCATCTGAACTCGGATTACGTCTCATATGATAGACTATAAAAGATTATTATGCTTAAAAGAGCTCCTTTCACTCACCATGATGTGTCTGTCTAGGGACACGCTTCAGTGCTCACTCGCAAACAAGCCAAACACAGAACTGTGAGTTTTAAAGGCTGCATTTGCCTCTTTTACCCCATTCCCAGCTGTCACTCACTGCCTTCTTCCCAGCAGGAATGTTTGTAGGAGAAGAAGGAACAAAACAGACTCATTCCCCAGCACTTGCAAAGTGGTGATGGCCTACTTAAGCTCTGCTTTCCATGGGGTGGTGGGTGAACTGGATTTTCCAGGGAAAGTTTTCTTCCATCTTCATCCAGCTGCATAATTGCAAATACAATAAAAGAAATTTTCTGGAAACTGCCTTCTTATTTTGCATTTAAAGTGTTGCAAACTATTTCCAAGCATACTCAAGACAACAGAGCTGAATCTGGGTGTTTATGCCAATATATATGCTTTGATGGGAGCCCCCGGTGGTCCAGGGGAAAATTCACTGCACTGTCACTGCAGAGATCCGGGTTCGATTCCCGGTCGGGGCCCCTCCCCGGGCAGATGGAGCTCGTTAGCCCTGTAAGGCAATCCATCTACGTCCTGAGGACCTCGCTGCCACCGTCCAAGCGTGCTTGGCCCCGGCAGATGAACCTCAGGATTAAAGGGTGGGCTCAGTTCCGCGCTCACTGTGTCTCACCTAAAAAATCCAATGCGCAGGCTGGAAGGTGGAAAGACCTTCCCCGGTTCTTCGTTCGCGAAGAGACTGGCCATTATTTATGCTTTGATTTATGTGGCATCGGTCATCTCTTTATAACAGAGTTAATGTGGGGTAATCTACCCCCCTCAACACATCTTAATGCTGCATTGCTTTTGCATCCGGTTACTTTATCAGTTCACTGTGCAGCCCTTTGTGGGCACTGAATATCCTTTGTAGGTCAGCTGCCATGCAGGGAGCCTATATGTGTGTGGGGCTTAATTGGTCTCTCAGCTCTTCCCCATTCTCTACTTTGTTTTGCTTACAGAGCTCATCCTTTCTCTTCCATTTCTCTTTCCCAGGAGAAAGGCAAGACAGTGATGACGATGCATGCTCTGCTAATGGACCCTGCTGAGACAGTGATTTTGGCTGCAAGGGAGACTTTATAGGCATCTTGCACTTCAATTACCAACCTTCCTGAGTGAAAAAAGAAGAAAAAAAAAAAAAAAAAAAGGAAAAGGAGGATCAGATGCTTCCAGTGATCTGCCTTTTTCCTGGGACCACTGCTGAAGCTCTTCCTGCCCTGGCAGTATCTGTAAATCAGCCTGGACTTGGCTTTTACACTGCAATCCCACAGCATTTCCCACAACGCATAAGACAGTGTGATCTGTTTGTGTTGGCCTCTCAGAGTTTCAGGGCAAAGAAAGTAAACATGAAGGTGCTTAGCTGAGGGTTTTGTAAGATTTTACATTAGCTAGGTTTCCAAACCGTTCAGAACTGAAAGGGATTTTTGGAAAAGGCTTACTTCCCCCTAAAAATCTCATCCTTACCTAATACATTCTAGTTAGCAGACAATACTACAGACTTGATATAACTTCATATGATGAATGAGCAGGGGCTTATTGTTGGAGTGTAGGGGTAATCTCCTCATTGTGTTTAAGCACCTTACCCCTTCTTACTTTCTGTCGTGCTCTTCTTGTGATAATTATAATGCTAATAGATTTTTTAAAATTATAATTACGTTGATTCATATCCTGGGAAAAAATGCAGCTCAGTCCTAGCTGACTGGTCTGATTTTTTAATCTGTTTTGGTTTTCAACAGTAAAAGGAAAGTCAAACAATAAGATCTCACTTTAGGTCTAACAGCAGTGCGGGCTGTGGATGCAGTTCAAACTCTGCAAAGCTTCTGGTGGGCATGCTTCACAAAAGACACTTTGTCTCCTTTGGAACAAATGCCATCGAACAGTGGAATTTATTTCTTAACTATTTTTCCAGGGCCCCTCTGTTTCCAGAATGCTCTCAAACACTTCGCATAGAGATTTGCTTCTTTGGAATGGCATGAGGGAGGACCAGCAGTGGGGATTTGCTTTCTATGCATGGCATGGTTTGCCTCATCTGCATGAGCTCTTTCTTGTTCCTAGGATACACTTGCTTGACTTAATTTATGGGCTTGCTTTATTATTTTTTTCCCTTTGGCTGAGTTCTGTTTTGACTTTCCCACTAAGCTCCTTTCGAGCAGGGGCAAAACCAACAACACTGAATTTATTTAAGTGGAATTAAAGGGCAGTCCTTGTGTGTAAGGCTGGAACTGGGCTGCTAAAGCATGCTCAGCCTCCCGAGGTGCTAAAAACCCTCATGTTTCATTCAAAAGCCAACTGCACTGAATAGCAGAGAACCACTTCTGAGGACTGCAGTGGGGCTGTAACACCAGCAGCACAGAATGAAAGATGGGGCTTTAGGAGGTGATGGGATATAAATTGTAAAGAGTTGACCAACCACATTACATTAAGGTCCCAGCTAGTTTTGTTGTACCAGAAGCAAGGTCTGGAAGATGAGGTAGTCCCTCTGCTCCTGTAGTGCAGTGGGACTACTGAAAATGGGTGAAATAGTTAATGCATATATAAACATTAAGAGCCATTTTCATTAATAAAAATGAAATTCACCTTCCTCAATAGCATTATGAATTGCAAAGAGGGATCTTTCTACATTGAATCATCAACTGATTGTGCTTGAAAATTCACCCCTACTTTGTGTCTGCAGATATTGTTCTTGTTCTCATGCACACTGTGTTTTGATTTTCCCTGTGCCCTTTTAAAACGAGAAGCAAGCTGAAGCTTTCATCAAAACAATATAGAAATGCAGACACTGGACAAGAGAGCACAGTATAAACCCACAGCATACCACGAGTACCAGGCATGTAAGAGGCCCATCCACCCAGCAAAAGAAGGCATTTCTGTCAGTGTTCAGAGCAGCTCTGGTAGCCGGCTCCTCAGCATGACTCTGATGTTAACTCTGATCAGTAGATTAAAAGCAGTTTGTTGGAGGACACCCTTTCTGTGTAGTGCCCATTGTATTGGTGCTTGGAGAGAACTGTCCATGTATGTGGGACAGGGTCTATTTTTTTCTCCTGGGTTTTTTTTCTTTTTTTCCGCATAAAAGAGGAGAGCCAGAGCTGGAGTTTGAGAATTTGAAGAAAGATGATGATATCTGTTTGTTAAAATTCAGTTTCTCCACCTGATGCTAAATAAACAAGGCAACAGGTAAAGTGAGTTAGTGAATCTTCCAGATCCACCCTTGAAGTGCACAGATGATGGAAGAAATCCAGTGACTCCAGAGGGGTGAAGGTTCAAGATTCCTTCTCATACCTGAAGGATGTAGCTCCTAGATCAAAACTGAAGCTGGTTGGGAGTGGCACAAGAGAAAGTTGTTTTTCCCATCCTGTCCTACTCCTGCTCTGCAGATTGCAATAATGGTTCAGCCTCAGGAGTTATTACTCCTATATATCCAGCTGGCACTAGATTAGCTTGAAAAACTAACAGGATCTTTATATAAATCATTTCCAGAGCATCCTTCTGGTGTTAGAAGTCCCCAAAAACTACTTTCCATATCACCTTTGTATCACTAGCACATATGCTGTTGGTTAAAAGGTTTTGACCCAATCAGATGTTGGTTTGTGTTTGTCTTTTCTTATTAAAAAGGTTAGAAGAGGAATGAGAGATATGATGTAATACATTATTTGTCTTGTAAGGAAAAAATCCAGTGTGGTTTCCAAAGATATCCTTGCATTTTCTACATTATCTCTATTTGCTGCAGTTATTGTTGGTCTCAGAATTTTTACAAGTAATGAATCTGAAAGCACATATGGAAGAAAGAAACTAGACAGAAAAAGAATTACTCTTGTACTAGGTGGAGGTGAATTTAAAAAGATGATGACTGGACTCATTGCTGTTCCCTGAAGAAGAAAGCACATTACTATGTTTAACTTTAGGGTACTGAGGATGTAGTGCTGGGCATTTTAATGTCTCCTCACATGTGCTCCAACCTGAATGCTGGGCATAATTATTCTTGACCATCAGCTGACAGGAACTGCATGGAGCCTAAGGCCAGCTTTCCTGCAAGGCAGTGCCCGTACCTTAAATCTGTGAGGTGTCACGGCTGGTGTGCGGGTGTGTCCACACATCATGGCAGAGACTGTGGCGCAGGCAGCTGACCAGGGTAGCAAAACTGAAAATGTAGAGGCTTCAGCATGGGCTAACAGCAAAGGTAAGGGCATCCGTTTACAAACTGTGTTTTGCCTGACAGCGTGTGCTGTCTTTTTTTTAAAGTGACTCTTCTGGTTAGAAAAAAGCAAACAGAGCTGGCGATCCCTTGTCACAACCAACCCTTTGCTTTCCTAAAGAGACCTTTCTAGTTGCCCTGATCAGCTGGCAGATCAGTAGGACGCTCTGAAATGGATTGGGCCACATTGAGGACACTTTTAACGTTCCTGAGTGAGGTATAGCTCCTATGTATTAGTGCAGAGGAGTTTGTATGGTGGGCCTTCACCAGCTAGACCAATGACAGACCCTGAAGATGGGATTTTCATGACAAAGCAGCTCTTCTTTGAATCAGAAAAGGTAATGGCAATAAGAGGACTGCAGCAGTTCATTTTTAGGGGTCATTAGACAGCTGAGGCTTAATTTGGGTTGGGATTGTTGTTTAGGTATCTTCTGTGGTTTTGATTAGATGCAACCTTGATTTCTTCATTTAGGAATTTTATCTGGGAGCTTTTGTTATCCTTTTAGTCCACAAACAAACCCTTTCTTGCAAAAGATCTCTTTTCCTTTCACGGAAAAGAATGAACACCAGAACAATGTCTTGCACAATGCACACCTGTGGCAGGAGAAGCAGATGATGTTTCCCCTGTTGCTTCACTTTGACATGCTTTTGGTTCACCTAGATAACACGATCTTTTTTCCACATCATTCTCCTTCAAGAATTCACTGCTTGTCACACCTGATGATTTATGCACTTGTCAACCTTTTTTTTTTTACATTGACAAATGCTCTGCAAAGATAAGGCACTGACCTTTGACAATATGGTGCCAGTAATTAAAATGAAGAATGCATTACAGTAAAAGGTAGAAATATAGATCTAAAAGTCATGCTGGTATTTTTAGTGATGGGAGTAATTGAGGATTTCAGATTAATAATTCAGTGCAGCTGAGATTAATAAATGGTATGAGGTAGAAATGGTATTTCAAGACCAGGGGTATAGTTAACAATTTATTTTAGTATATCCTGAAAGATGCTGCTGGAATTATTGTGTAATAACTCAGCATAGTCTTACAGTTTCCAAGTCTGTTTTGTAAAAGGATTACGCAAAGTGAAGTGACCCATCTGAGAAGAAGCCAAAAAGCCATGTCTCTCAGACATATCTGCAGGGGGTCACTTTGCATCACTTATCTGTTTCTGCACTGGTGGGCAGCAGAGGGTTGGCTGGATGGAGGACCAAAGACTGGCCCAATTACAAGCTCTCATGATGAAGTGCCTGGTAATGACACAAGCCCTCCAGGGTGGGCCAGAAGGCAATCCCCTCCTTCTTTCTCAAGGGTAAGCTAGAACAGAGAGGGGAGGAGGAAATCATCCATGTATAGGTGAAATGTGGCAGGCCAGGGAGCGGTCCCACCTACTGTCTCCCACAGCAGGGATTGCCAGAGGGAGCAATCCCTAGCTGCAAAGTTCTGGGTAGGTGCAGTGGTCATGATCACTTTTACCTTCCTTGCTCCATACCTCGAGAGTCTCAGGAGGTTCTAGGCTAGCTTCCCCTCTTATTGAATAGCTTTGAAATTATGAGCTTTGAAATTAAAGGGACACTTGTATCATTGGAGTCCAGCCCTGCAAATCTTACTTGCGAACCTTGTAAACTGGCTTTCTTCATGTAGTCCCATGAGGTTCATGACCTTGTTGTCTTTACAAGTGCTGGGCCAGAGAGCATTTTCTGGTTGGACCCCTTAGTTCTTATCACTTCCCACTCGCACAGGAACACTACCAGTGTGGAAGCTGTGAGTTTTTGCTTATGTTCCTTGGCTCAGGAGAACTATTTGAAAGGATTAGTTCTATGTAGCCAGCAGAACAACTCAGCAGGACAGTTTGTTGGGTGTCCCTTTAAGCATCATTTAAGCATCATGGATACGTTTGATAAGAATTTTTCTCTAGTTTATGAAAAGACTAAACCTGATCAATGATCATGTCCTCTGTTTAAGGTGTGAGGCCAAGCACACCTGAGCTGTGGCTAGTAGGCAGTTTTATAATCTTCGTTTGACTACAGAATATCTCACGATCAGAAGCTGGCCGTGGACCTGCCGTTTTACTCCCTTGCTGAAACATAAAAACATCCATCAGCTAGATTCAGTTCAGATCCTGATGGGGCAAGATGCCTTAAGCATGTGAACAGTTGTCTAAGCTTCTTTTTGCTCTAGTGTTGATAGGGTTAAACTCAGCAGCTTTATCTTGTTAGACTCAGACACTAAAAAGACCTTATTTCCTGTCTATGTGTTAGGTGGGTGAGTTACATTGCAGACATACATTACAGCTGGAATGCATATGCTGTGTGATAAGTACTGCCCTGACTTTGTGATGATTATACACATGGAGATTATTCAGGCTTTCTCCCATTTGCTTTGCAAGGGTCAGTGTGTACCTTGTTTATACCCCTAACTTACTGTTCAAAGCAGTTGTGGGCAGAGCCAAGCTGTGTGTCCATCTTTTGAAGTCAAGGAGTGATCCTACAGGAATGGGCAATTGGTTTGCACGTAATGCACAGTTTAACAACTTTCTGTACTGCTCTTTCTCATTTCTGTTTCTAGGATTACCTGAAGTTATATGGGAATCTTTTGGGGGGAATCTTCCCCTCTCTCCTTGCAATGCCAGATTGCATCACATGCTGTTGGATATACTGTAGCATTTGGTGGGTTTGTTGTTTTTCATCATCTGACTGATAGTGATTTTTTTTCCTCATTAGGTTTAGCTTTGTGATATCATGATAGATTTTGAAAATAATCTTTTTCAATCCAAGATCAAACAACTCAGCTTTGTCTACATCAACATTTTGTCTAACACTAAAGACTATGATCTGAAAACATACTGTAAAAATCAGTTATCGGTAAAAGGCACAGCAGTATTCTCAGAGCAAGTTTCTAATTTTTTTTATTGTTTAATACTGCCTAGATCACCTTATAAACTGAAAGCAGCAAGTACATTAAATACAGTGCAATGACTTAAGTACATTAAATACAGTGCAATGACTTATACAGACCAAGGCCAGGGTTTCTGGTTTACTCATTGTATTGGTTTAAATCCAATGATGTTTCGCCTGATTGCCACAGCAGGTACCCAAAGGCTACACAGTGCTGTCTTAACCCTTGAGCGTGAAAGTCACACTGTTTCCATTTTGTTCCTAGACTGTGCTGCTGGTGCATTATTCAGATTTGGACTGAATTATGATTTGATTTGATTTGACCTGGCCTGCATTTGCACTGCTTGCTGAAATACTGAATAAGCCAGGGAGGCAGATAACCGCCTCATGTGGCCTCTCTCCTGTTTTCAGGATCAATGATGAGGTTTTATCATTCAGGTTATTGCTGTTATCATAGGAGCACGGAAACCTGTTCATTAACCCCAACTGCAGTGTGCTGGAGCTGTGCAAGCACAGGACAGAGCTGACTGCTGCCTGCAGGAGTCCTCAGCCCGGGCTTAGTCCAGTGGTGTTCTCTCAGCAGAACAGCCACCAAGCTCCTCTCCACAGTTGCTTTGCTGCTGTGTTAGGCTCTCAGTTTAGACAATACGAAGGAGTAGAATCTGAAAGAAAAGCAGTGATGCCATAATAAGCTTGGCCACTGTCAGTGTGCAGTGCTTCTGGCCCACAGATGGTACCATACAACTTTGTTTAGGCATACAGATCTTAACCATTCCATTATACCATTGCAGTCTTTCATGGAGGTACATATATTTTTGTCTCTCTGATGAAAATGAGCATTTCTTCCAAATATTGGCACTAAAAAAAACACCACCTTGACCTTGCAAACGCACTGTGCTGGTTTTGGCTGGGATAGAGTTAATTTTCTTCATAGTAGCTAGCGTGGGGCTATGTTTGGATTTGTGCTGGAAACAGTGTTGATAACACAGCGATGTTTTCTTTATTGCTGAGCAGTGCTTACACAGAGCCAAGACCTTTTCAGTTTCCCACGCTCTGCCAGTGAGTAGGTACACAAGAACTGTGAGGGAGCATGGCAAGGACAGCAGATCCAAACTAGCCAAAAGGATCTTCCATACCACAGAAGAAGAAGGAAGGAGGTGATGTTTGATGTTGTTGGTCTTCCCAGTAACTATTACACATGACAGAGCCCTGCTTTCCTGGGGATGGATGAACATTTGCCCATGGCAAGTGCAGAAAGAATTTCCCACTTTTACCCTTCCAATTCTGTCTCCCATCCCACCTGGAGGGAGTGAGTGAGCAGCTGCATGAATCTTAGCTGCCACTTGGGGTTAAACTGCAACACATGCATGAAATGGGAACACTGCAAGGAAGATTTTCACCATGTTGTGGTTTTGCTTTGGGTTAATTTGCTTTCCACCCTCCACACAATTACTATTAGTTGAGAGAAGGTATTTGCAGACAAAAGAGAGACAGGATTTGGGGTAAATAGTATACACATTTATTATTAGTAAAACAAAAATTATTAATAAGTTAAAAACTAAAGAATTATATCTATAACAATTTCTATTCAAGGTAAAGTGCAATATATTTATAGAAATACTTCTTCCCCTTTTATACCAGTCCAAGGAGAAGAAGTTGTTTCATTTTGTATCTTTGGAGTTCCAGTTCTCTTCCTCTAGTGACAGATTCTCAGTAGCAGTAGCACTTTCACGACACACCACCTCTCTGCAGATCTTGTGAGCCTCTCTGCTCATTTAGCTTTTCAGACTGTTGATTTGAACTCAGATTCATTTTGGTAAAGACCACAAATCAAGTCCTGTCATAAGTAGAGAGCATGGTGTGATATCATTATTGCTTACCCCTGAATTGAACCTGAAAGCTGAGGTGATCAATACAGACATAATTGCCAGTGTCACCAATTAATTGTTCCTGAGTAAATGAGCACCTCTTCAACTGGCAGCCTATCAGTCTCAGAAACAGCAATGCAATGTGGCAAACTTTGTGTGGGATGAAAATACCCTTCTGAGCAAGTGACAATTATTAGCAATAGGCTTTTCTTTCAGTGTTTTGCTGCACATTTCTAATTTCACCATGACCAGAGGGGAATGCCCAGTGCAGTTTTTACCTTTCTGGGTGTGGCAAGAATCAACCAATCTTGGCTAAGCCCTACTTCAGCTATATGCTTAAGCAGGTACTTAGGGTAAAGCATGAGATTAGGTCACACTGAAATCAAAATTAGTCAGATACTTAAGGGCTTAATTTAAAAATTGCCCCAATAAAACTCATCCTTGCTCAGTTCTTAATCACACGAGTTGCACAGAAAAGCAATCCCATTGAAGCAGCATCTGGGCTGCTAAAAAATTAACACATGAAGAACGCAGTATGCTATTTGTAGAGGGGTTTAAAATATTTTTGCCACTTCTTAAGAATGAGGCTGGCCTAAGAGTGGATTCCAGCATTGATCTCTGTGTCTCTATTTGTACAATGGAACCAAGACCATAAGCGGCTTTTTAGGAAAGTGGTTTTACAGTAACCCACGTTACTCTGTAAGCTTTTGTGTTGATTTCACATTTAGCCTTTATCCCTCTGTCCATCTGTTGAGCACAAGTCATGTGTGCCCAAGGCTTACAGAGCGAAGGTCATTTTATCATAACATGACTGCTTAAAAAAACCTCAAGATTTTGTCATGTGGCTTCAGTTTAAATGTAGTTCCCAGCTAATTAGTCTGATAAAGTATGTATATTTGCAAACAAAGAATAACTATAATACTATCCCAGTGGAGATCTGCAGAGGAATTTGGGGAATGCAAATGTTGATAATTGCAGTTCCTGTGCTATAGTTAGCTGGAGCAGACAGACGGCTGCCCTTAAGCAGACCTCTCTTGGTGCCAAGATGGGACACATGGGACAAGAGACAGTAGATCCAATTGCAGGATGAAAGGCCAGATTCTGATGTCCAACCTCATTTTATTCAGTTCTTTCTCAGTTAAAGTTATCATGGGGCATTTCCCAAAGAAGGACTAGAAAGATTCCCAACAATCTTCAGCAGATGGAGACCAGGATATATAATTTATTTTCTGAGAGGGGGACTCTAATTCTTCTTTCCTTTTTTTCCTCTATTTCTTTATTTTTTGGTCTGTGCCTGAGTTACTAAATACCAATATCAGTAAAGTAGTTCTGCCTGCCTGTACAGATATCCCTGTGTGTGCATTTAGGTGCTTCTGATATCCTGAAGAACTATCCATTTTTGACACTTGCCATTCCTTTGGCTTGGAAAGTAAAGATAATCTTGTTTCTTTTTAAAAACAAACACCACTACCACCACCACCTCAACCCTGATGATAGCTACTATTTTGGCTTTGTTTGCATTGAGCTTTTACTTCATAATATAGATTTTACAAAGCATGAGATGATTTGCATGTCCTAGATAATGAATGGTACTGCACCACTTCAGTTGGACTGTTTTCAGAGGGATGTTACAGGCCCATCAGACTGAAGTATTGGCAACATCATGATTATTTTGAGTGGACTTACTCTTGAGGATAAAACAATCTTTCTCACAGAAATTACTTTAAAAACCCTGCAAATCTTGGGGCTTTTTTTTGTGTGTGTTTGTTTTCTGGCTCTGCACTGAGAACCCACGTGCTTCTAGTGGCTACAGGCTGGTTGTCCAGAGGTGCTGGCTTTCAGCTTATTTTGCTCTCTGAACTCACCAGACCCTCTCTCTGATACTGGTGCAAAGCTGAAGACACATCTGTTCAGGGAGACAATGAATAAAGTATGCCAGCACATAGCCTTGATGACAGAGGTTGAAACAGGGAGAAATACTGCTAAAATAGACCCAGTAACAAGCTTGAAATCTGGTTTAAACATTTCTACCCCCATCATGGTATCACTTGGCTTTTGTTCTTGCAGTCTGAGCGGGCCTGAGCAAGAGATTTGTCTCTATCTTATGCTTCCTAATTATCTATTTTACTGGAATGCAAAACAAGACCCTATTGTACACTGACTCTATATTGTCTTTCCTATAGCAATGGAAGAGGGGATTGTGCTTGCAATCCCGTGCAACAAGAGCAACCCCAGTGGTGTTGATAGCATTTGAGGAGTTCACTGTGAGTTCAGTGCCCTTGGGTGAAGCTCTGGATTCTGAACTTACAATGCTGCAGGAACTCACTTGAGCCTGTGTGCACTCCTTGAGCTCCCAGGCATCCCCCTCCTCCCCATCCCTCCTTGCCAGGCTTTGGGTATAACTACAATAGGAACTGACACTCTCCCAACGGCCACATAAATCTCTTTAAGGCACTGGAAGCTGAATGCTAGCCAAGTGGGCTCTGCTGGCTGACAGCCTTCATCCCCTTCTTTCATTAAGACTTAAATAATTAAATTTTCCAGCAAAACAAAGAGATTTAAGGATGCAAAGCGTTCCTTATTTCCTCTTTCCTTAGAAAGCATTCGGTTGAAGTTGATTTAGCTATACAAATTTAAGGTTGTACTTACCATATGATACCTCTCTAGCCTTTATAGATACAGGAAGACTCAAAGCAGGGAAGCAATCGGAGCAGAGGCATGTACATGCCGTGTCCCATTTGCCACTGCTAGTCAGCAAACCCTGCTGTGTGGTGATGGTTCACACATGGGTTCCTTCCTGCACAGCGAGCTGGCAGGAGTTGCCACAGATAAAGGCTATTTTATGGTATCTGCATGGTTGCAGTTTCTGGGGACTCACATGTGTGCAGTGAACATGAAGATAGTTGGGTTTCTAAGGCTGTGAAATACTTTGCACTGAGAGGGGTGAACATGGGCTGATAAAGAAATGAAGTGGTGTGAAAAGATGCCAAAACCGAACAAGACAAGTCTTAATCCAAAAGCAGCAGTACGACTGAGCCCTGATTGTACTTGGCATGACAGAGTAGGAGAGGGGGATAGAAGATGAGGCTCAGGCACTGGCTTACCAGACACCTTCACATAAAGTGGTACTGGGAAATCACAGACTTGCCAGGAGCTTCTGCTCACATCAGCCTGTGCTGTGCAGCAGGAGGAAAGGATGGTTTTGCTTCACAGCTCGTCAAAGTCCAGCTTCTGTTCTGAGCAGACCAACTGGTCAGCTGGGGTACCATCCTGCCAGCAGGACCCATAGCTCAGGCTGCTTTGAAGGAATATGCAGCTTCCTCAAAGGGACATTTTTCCTGCCTCCAGCGTGTGCATGACTTGAAGTCCTGATGCCCGAGAGCTGATGAAACTTGTAATTTTAACTTGGCAGAGCTGCAGATACTGTTCTGAATCACCTCGAAGCCAGATCGTTTAAAACTTGCCTGCATGCTTTACCTCCCTAATAGGTGGTAGCTCTCCCAGGTCACAGAAATCATCTGCTACAGCAGTCAATACTCAGCTTGTGTCTCTAGTGCCTCCAGTGCATCTCGTGGAGCCTGGCAGTAGCTCCCCTTACATCTGCTGTTTGTGAGGCAGGCAGAGAGCCCATCACAGAGGGAGAGCAACGCCAGGCACAGGAGTCACGCTTGCCTCCACTTCTGTTACAGCCAAGGAGGATGAGAAACATGCTCTTTCCCCTCAGGCAGCCAGAGAAAAAAGAAACCACAGAGGACCACAAAACCATCCCAGTACAACATCTGTGAATACTGCGCGCCGCCTCTAGCGGGCTGGGACACGAGCACATGAAGATAACCCTGTGTGGCAACTTTGCATCAGTTGTTCTGTGGTTTGCTTTCACATGAGAGGAATTAAATGCAAGCTGACACAAGATCAGAGCCAACAGAATTATGTTTTCAAAGACAAAACCCCCACAAAACCTCTCATAGACATGCCCCTTCTCACACAACTCCCACCTCATATAGTGTTCTCCATCAAGCAAGGAGGAAGGCCTGAAAGCAACCTTTATGCACCTATGCCTTTAAACAAAGCTTTCTTAAAGAATGAGAGCCAAGCCAGGTAAAGGTTTTCTTAGGCTGCAATTTTTCAGGTCCTTTATTTCTCTTCAAAGTTGTATTAAAAATAAAATCAAAAGAAAAATTCCAGAGCTTTTATTTCTGTTTAGAGCCTTCTAAGTTCAAAATAAGCCTTCATCCTGATATTCGCAAGAGGCAGGCCAGAGCAGTAACTGATGAAGGAAACCAGAGGAATATGTTTCCCCAGCCTATACCCATTACAATTATGTGATTGTTTCTCTTGGAGATATCTGTAAACAAAGCCCTGGACAGTGTTTTCCAAGGTCTGGTGTATCACGTATTTCTTTAACTTGCAAAACTTAAAAAGATAAAAGTGGAGATTATCCATTGCTCTGAAGGATAAATGTAGAGTAGTATAAACAAATTTCTTCTCAGAAGAAATTTTTGCTTTCTGTACCCTCAACTGCCCATCAGGGAAAGAAGTAAACAGTACTAGGGAAGGCTGTCCACTTTCTCCTAGCAGACATATTTCTAAAAACCAATAGCAAAAAACAGGCATAAACATCTGCCTTTTATTGCTGGTTCACAGGTACCTTAACTTGTCCTGAAGCCACAAGAGGGCTTGTGCTCTTTGGCCATAATCTCTAGCAAAGGCAAGGGGATGCAACTCTTCACCTGTCCTTTCGGTGCCCAGTCACCGAAGTCATAGGCATTTCTGTGCTACGGATGTTTTGAAGTGTTATATTTCTGAACATAACATTCCCATGTATCTGTAACATTGTGCCTTTGTTAGAGCAGCTTCTCACTGCAATTAAATGAGCTCTGCTCTCAAATTCTTTATTAAATGTAGCTTTAACAGTTAGAGGGGTTAAACTGTAATATGCTTAGGTACAATCAGTGGTGGAGAGAAGAGGCAGAGCCTGACTGGGCTCCTGCTTTTGTTTGGTATCTGCTTTCTAGGGCGCACTTGTGTTGCTCCCAAAGGATGCCAGGCATCCCTGGAAGTTTTTCAAAGGCAGATGGCAGCCTGTGTCACAAGTGCAATTGAGGAAAAGCCAGGGTACACAGCGTGCATGTCTCCTTGGTGAATAAATTCACACTGTTTCAGCTTTTCCCAAGACTAAACAAAAGTTTAATAATTGCTTCTTAAAAGCTAAGAAGGAGGAGGGCAGGTTGAGGCAATATTAAATAGCAGGTCCTACTCTTGGAAAATTGAAATAAGGTTTGGGCCTGCAGAAAAAATACATGGTGATGCCAAGTTGTCTGAAGGAAAACGTTTGGTCTTTAGTGTCAGTGTTCAGTTGCTGCCGTGCTCCTGCACTACCTAACACAGGCTTTTACACTTCAGCTGGGAGGTTTTATAAACAGCTGGGTATTTGCAGATGGATACACCTAAACCAATAAAGTCCTGAGCTGCCATGAACTGAGCTCTCATGTGAGCCCCATGGTGCATGGGTGGGTCTGCAGGACCTGCAGTGCCATCATACTCATGGGGTGACTCCAAAACAGAGGAGCTTGTGCTGGTGCTGCCACTTCTCTTTTCTGTCCAATGCTTCTGTTTGTCTCCTTCCTGAAGCAGGACTGAATTGAGATGAACTTCCTCCACTGCTTCAGAGGGTCTGACCTGCCCGCCTCTAAGACAAATGCTGCAAGCAGCAAACTGTGGGGCATTTCAGTGCAGTTGCTGAAGCTTTGTGCTCTGTGTTTTGGGTCAGACTGTGCATTTCTGGAGGTACCAAGATGTTATGTTCAGAGCTGCTACCATTATTCTATGTGGTTGTAGTCTCAAAACTAGTTAAGGCGTTGGTTTTCTTTCTTTGTTTTTTCCTTACGAAGCTGCCTACCCATGAATAGGTATCTCCCATGGACTCACTGAGGAAGAAATCCTGGTTTCAGTGAGGCAGCCCAAGTAGATGAGGCCATGTGTTTTGGCTCCAAGACAGGAATTCAAGGTCTTAGCAGATGACTGAGTGCCTAAACCAGGCTGAAACTGGAAGCTGGGAGGGAACAGGATAGGGATCCTGCCTGGGAACACATGCATGCCCAGCTCTTGCTGTTCCCAGAGTTGCCAAATATTTAATCCTCTGTGGGCTGAGTCTTGAAAAGATTGTGTCTGACCTCCTCTGAATGGGAAATACTCCTGTTAGGGTACAACGGAAACCAAATCAAGTTCAAAGAAAGACAGGAATGTGGCTTGCTGGACGTGGTATTAGACTGCGTGGCTTTATAAGGATGTATCCCACCCTGCTATTTGATCATTACCACATTGCAGTGAGTGGTGAAAAACACTGGCTATGCTCACCTTTTCCTTTTGCAGCATTGGGGGACCTCCCAGCAGTGTGTTGGAAGACTCTAGAGAGCATAGCAAAAGAGATCTCAGCCTTTTCAGAGTTTAAATCAGAGTTTAAATGCAAATGTTGCTGCTTTAAAGCTTTAAGTTCCCTTATATTTTAGAAAAGTCCAAATTTGAATGTTGTTCATCAAGCCCCTTACGGTGCTCCAGTGGTCTGAGTGAGCTTAAAAAAAACCAAGCCAGGCTTAAAAGAGCAGCAGTACTGAGCAAACTTGTATGCATTGGGTGGCTTTGTCTTTTCTGTACAGCCAAATGGCACAAGTGCAGGCAAAAATATTTATCTCTGTACGTTACATGAAGAGACCATGAGGAATCATGAAATCACCTTGCTGTTTCTCTATTCAGCAGCACTGGGGAGGGTAAATGCCCTCAGTGTGCAGATGCCCCAGCGCAGGCCATTGAGAGAGACTCTTCCTTCAGAATATTATCTCCCTACCACAAAATTGGATTGTTAACTAATACCAGCTGAGATCTTTCCATAGGGAAGCAAATAAATAAGGGCCTTCCTCCCATCCCCAGCTTGTTGCAGAAAAACCACCCACGATGTGTTTGAGGGAAAAAAAAAGGAAACAAGCTCCCTGATGTGCAACTCAAAAGAAACTGAAAATGATTAATTCCTCCCTGTTGAGGTATATTGCAAAAAAGGGCTTTGTCTTCTGGCTTTAGAAAAGGCAGTCTTTCTTTAGAGTGGGTCTGGTTCCTTGTGGCAGAGGGGTTTCAGCAAAAAGCAAGGGGGTGAAAGCAAAGCAGCCTAGTTAGGGGTGAGGGGAAAGCAGCCCATCCTCCTCTGTGGCAGAGGGTGAAGCAGGGGATGCTGATGTGGTTCAGGCAGGGCTGGGGAGCTGCCAGAGCCACACACTCACACACCCAAGGAGTGCCATGGCCAGGAGGGCAAGGGTGAACAGCTGGGGCCACTGCAGCTCTGTCTGCTGTGTGCAGTCTTGCCCTGGTGCTAATGTGAATTTATAGTCTGAACTGGCTCCAAAGCCCTGATTAATATTAGCAGCCAGGTCCTGTGGGGGACCACTGTGTGTGGCCCTGGAGAGACATGCCAGCAGATGGTTGCTGTCCTCAAGAGCCATGCAGCAAAGAGGCAAAACATCCCAGAGGAGGCATAAAAATCTTCTGTATCTCTAAGTGGGGAAACTGAGGCATGAAGCAGAAGCCGCTGCAAAAATGTGAGAAATAAATCCTCTACTTCTGCTGGCAGGGAGACAGGGAGTGCAGCCATGGGCAGAAGCAGGCTGTGGGGAAGCAGGAGCATCACCCTGTACCTGGGTCTTATAATCATAGAATAGTTAAGGTTGCAAAAGACCTCTAAGATGAAGTCCAACCATTAACCCAGCACTGCCATGTTCACCAGCAAACCAAATCCCCAAGGTGCCATATCCACACACTTTTGAACATTTTCAGGGATGGTGAATCAACTGCTTATCTGGGCAGCCTGTTGCAATGCCTGCTCACCCTTTCAGTGAAAAACTTTTCCTAATATCTGATCTAACTCTCTCCTGGTGCAAATTGAGGCCATTTTCTCTTGTGCTATCACTTGTTACCTGACCCTCACCTTACCACAACCTCCTTTTAAGTAGTTGTAGAGAACACTGAAGTCTTCCCTGACCCTCCTTTTCTCCAGGCTAAACAGCCCCAGCTCCCTCAGCTACTCTTCATTAGACTTGTGCTCCAGACCCTTCACCAGCTCCATTGCCCTTCTCTGGACACACTCCAGCACCACAATGACTTTTTTGTAGTGAGGGGCCCAAAACAGAACAGAGGATTTGAGGTGTGGGCTCACCAGTGCTGAGTACAGGGGGACAATCACTGCTCTGGTCTTGCTGGCCACACTATTGCTGATACGACAGAGATGCCATTGGCCTTCTTGGCCACCTGGACACACACTGGCTCATGTTCACCCTGGCTGTTGACCAGCACCCCCAGTTCCTTTTGCACTGGGCAGCTTTCCAGCCACTCTGCCCCAAGCCTGTAGGGCTTCATGGCATTGTCCTGACCCAAGCGCAGGACCTGGCATTAGGCCTTGCTGAACCACTGTCCTCGACCCTTTGATCCAGCCTCAGTGGTTTCCTTGAATCCACTGCAACCTCTTTGCTGGTGACTGTGGAAAGGCTCGGTTCTCGCTGCATGCAGAGAGGTGACAAGGGAGATGAGGAAGACGTGATGCTGGAGCTTTGAGAACTCACCACTTGTGAACCACAGTGGACATTCTTCCCCACAGTGCTCCCCACCATCATTTTGTTGCCGCCTCATCAGTCTTGGTGGCAAGATGCCGAGAAAAGGGCAAGGCAGAAAATGTAGCTGAGCACTTACTCTC